CTCTCTCTCTCTCTCTCTCTCTCTCTCTCTCTCTCTCTCTCTCTCTCACTTGGACCTTGGACCCTGCCATGGCATGGAGGAGCCAGTATGCATGTGTGTGCACTCACACACATGCATGCAAACATGTTGGGTAGGATCACATATATGCAAGCATGAGTATCAGGACACCAAGCCAACCTTGGGAGTTGTTCCCCTCCGGCCTTCCCTCTTGTTTTTTGAGACAAGGTCTCCCACTGAATGTGCGACTTGCCAAACAGTGTAACCTGGCTGACCAACAAGTCCCAGGGTCTTCCTGTGTCTTTCTCCCCCATGCTGGGATTACGGCTGCAAGCTGCCATACCTGCCTGACATTTTATGTGGGATCTGGGACTCAAACTCATGCCTTTATGCTTGTGTGGCAAGTACCTTATGACCTGCTCTGTGATCTGGATATTTACTAGTATTCCCTTAGTGATTCTGGGAGACCCTCTCCCTCCAGATGTCTCAGTTTCTTTCATTTGAGTCTTGTGCTTGGGACACACAAGGATAATGGAGTCCATGTACAAATAAGTGGTCAGCTTCAGGACCCTGCCCTGTGTTACTGGGTGGCTGCTACCTATTCTCAGTTCTTCCTACAACTCATAGAATGTGCTCAAGGAGCACAATGCCTGAGACGCACTCATGAGTCAAGCTTCTTCCTGGAGAGATAGAAAAAGTCTAGACTTAGGACTGGAGGCAACCAGATTCCAGAGGCTGTTTTCAAATGATGAATGTCCAGGTCGTCTGTGTGCATCACCCCAGGGGCAGAAGCCCCAGGGGCCAGGAAAGATGGGAAAGGTTCCCTTCAACGAGGCTGACCAGCACTGATTAAATGGTATGAAAGTTGCTCAGGAGTCAGGCTCCCCAACAAGCAGGGAACCAAGGAGGGGCTGGTCCTGATTAACGATCTCCAGGGGCGTTGGGACTGTCGGAATGGTACTAGATACATGAGTACATGAGGGACAGTGTATGCTAGGCTGAGCAGACCCTGTTCTGTGAAGGTTCCTATGAGAGTCATCCTTGTGGCTTCAGACTGAGCCAAACCACAGGATGGTGGCAACCTGGAGGTCTCCATGGCGATCTTCTGGAGTCATAGAGAAGATAAGACTTACGGTCTGGGACAGCCATGAAGAGGGCACTGGCTGTCCATGAGTGTCCCCGGGGATGTGCCTGGCATCTGGCACAACCCCAAAAGACTAGCTAGTATAAGGGAGTTCCGAGAGGATGCTGTAGCCCCCACCTAGGCTTGCTGAGAAGGGCAGATAGCCAACCTGGAGGCCACATGTCATGGGTTTAGTCTCTCAGATGACAATGCAGACTTGACTATTGCTGTCTTCACTGTCCAGCTGAAGAAGTTCAGAATTGCCTGCTAACTTATCTAGAAGGGTTGGGACAGTCACCTTGGTTCCTGTGGTTTCCTGAGCTGGCAGTCCCACGGGGGCTGGGCTGATGTCGTTTTTTCACTACCACTGTTTCTCCAAGGCTCAGCTCTAAAACTACAGGCCACAGTGAGTGCTTATGACACAGTTATAGAGATAAAACCAAAGCTAGCTCCTCAGGTTCCCACTTGTTCTTTAGGATGGAATTCAGGTGTCCCTTCCTTCAGGAACCCTTTCCTGGTCTCTCTTTCCCGAAGTTTCACTGGGTGCCCTGTTCCTACTGCAAGTGTTTATGACTCACGTGTCCTAACATTAGTGTATTAGGCTACAATTGCCTCCTCCCTTACAGAAGAAGGGAAAGATGACTGTTATTAGAGGGGCAATTAGTTTCCCTCCTCCTAAAGACTTAGCAAACAGCATTACATCCCTCCCTGAGACTCAGAGGTAGGCCCCACTCCAACCTCCAGAGTAGAAACTTGACATAGATTTAGTCAAATGCAGCACCGTAGCCTTCTCAGCTAGTGACTGTCTTAGGGGTGATCATGTGACCCAAAGCCTGGCTAAGCAGTCAATAAGGTTCCATCTCAGGCTTTGGATGAAAGGCAGGGAAAGGGTGCTTCTTTTCTGTCAGACTTGACAGTGAGGCTTTAAGCCTGCTGCTGCTATGAACCTCTGTTGGAGAAAGTATGATCCAACATGGCCACGAAAGAAAGAAATGATTTCAATAGAGGGGGTGGGGATGGGGTCCTAAGCCTCTCCTGAACACAAGCCTCTTGATCTTTCATCAACAAAAGCTAGTAAGTCCCCAAAGCACAGACTAATGCTGTGTTCTGACGCTTGTAGCTGTGCCACAGTTCTTAGAGGAAATACTCGGTGCCTTTTACCTTGGCCTCTTTGCTGCTCAGCACACTGTGGCATGCAGCAGGCACTCAGTGTTTACTGACCCTAGAGCACATGCTCTAGCCACTACTACTACCTGCTTGCAGGCAGTGTCCAGTGGGTTCCTAGGGGAGGTGTCTGTGACTGGTGCAGAGAGCAGGTGCCCAGCCATTCCTCAACGGAGGAGGTCAAACATGGTAATGCTTAAAGTGAGAAAGACCTATAGGTTCCCCCACCCAGAGTACCTTAAAGGACTCACACTTAAGGGGAATTAGCTTTTCCCTCTTCATATGGTCTGAGGAATTAGATCTCCATTTTAACGATGTCTTAGTCATTAACTGCGTTCTCCTAGATATCTGCAAACAACTGGGGACTGGTGAAGGCTCCTATTGCTCTCCTGAGGCAGCAGGGCAGGACCCAGAAGACTTGAAGCCAAAACCTCAGTTTCCACACTCACTTCTGGAACATGGGACAAACCACTTAATTTCTCTGAACTGCCACCATCTGTAAATGTAATTTTGACAGGTCCCCTGTCATTGATGCTGACCAGATAGAAAAGCAAGCCGGGAAGTGCCCTATGGGTGGGGACACTGGGCAGAGGTTGAAATGTCATTCTCACCGGATACTGGCGCATCTTTCTGCACACCCTTTGTTTCTTACCTTTCCGTCATGGCCACCTGCTCCAGCATAGCAGAGCCTGTATTAGCTTTCCAGTTTCCAGAGATGGAGGTTCTCCTGGGTTAGAACAAACCACACTTCAAGGACATTATAGAGATTTCTATCACTAATCTGCTTTCCTTCTTTGCTTTTATGGTTAGGAGATGTTGTTTCAAATATGTGGCCCAAATTATATATAGCATGTACTTTTATATTTGTGTTCTGTCTTCTTTTTTTTTTCTTTCTGTAATTCCCATTAATGTTGACTGATTTATTTATTCTTGGATGTTATGTATTGTTTTCTAAACTTTCTTTGAAATTTAAAGATTAAATTGTATTTATTTATATTTTTTGTATATTTTCTGTGTCTGAATATTTTGTTTGTATGCAGTGTGACATGTATGTGCCATGGAGATGCTGAGAACCAAGGCCTGGTCCTCTTCAAAAGCAATAAAAGTTCCATAACTGCTGAGCTGTCTCTCCAGCCCCTAGATTAAAATTTAAAAAATGCTGACACCTCCATTAAAATGGCACAAACTTTGGTGCTGCAATGTCCCCAAACTAGATCCCACAAGCCCAGGTTTGACTTTTAACATCTTATGGTGCCATTGGGAGGTGAGGAAATCTTTAGCGAGTAATGCCTGGGAAAGAGAAGTCAGGGCTCTGGGGTCACACCTTTGAAGGGACCCTAGTACTTCCTGTCTCTTCTTGGTTTCCTGGCTACCTTGAGGTGAGCAGTCTCTATGAGTGTGTTACCACAGGCCCAAAGCAACAGGGACAAGAAACCATAGGCTGAAACCTCTGAAACTGTGAGCCAAAATAAACCTTTCTTCCTTTTACATCAACTAGCTCAAGTACTTTGTTACAGTAATAGAAAAATGACTAACATGCACGACCTCTTGTTTTTGAGGAGAACTGAGGCGTTGAACCACCTTGTGATTCTGGAATTTAAAAAAGGTTTAAATGTAGGAAAAATGGTCTTAGGGAGGAAGTGACCACTTTCCCATGGTGAAGAGTTTGGAAGGCTCTGTGACCTCTGCCCGAGTTCTCACCCCTCTCATTTCCTTTTCTGGACTTCATTCTACCTCAGTCATGGCTGTCTTCCTTCTTAGGGCTTCCCCGAGCATGGCTGCTGTTCTGATTTGAACCTTACACACTCACTTTCAGTTTTGGCTCAGGCAGCCTTTGTTACCACCTTTGCCTTCCCAAGTCTTTGCTCATCTTTCAGGCTTCATTTGAATGTGCTTGTAGCACACCTTCCTGGACTTTCATAGGCTGCTCTGCCCTGCTTCCTTCCTTTCCCTTACCTTACTCTCTTATCCCCCCCTCCCTCATTTGCCCTCCCATACCCTCCCCTCCCCACCCCTCCTTTTCTCTTCCCTCCTTCCCCTCTCCTCCTCTCCTTCCCCCTCCTCTTCTCTCCTCTCCCCAGCACTGCGCTCAGGAATGTTCATCTAACCTGCCTGATAGAGGGGAAGCCTTAACTTGACACAGCCTAGAATCACTGGGAAACGGCGTCTCAGTTGAGAGAGTGACTAGATCAGATTAGTCTGTGCGCATGTCTGTGAGACTGTCTCATTGTTCACTGACGCAGGAGGATCCATCCCATGGTGGGTAGCACTATTCTCTGGAGAGGTGTTCTTGGGCTGTATAAGAAAGCTAAAAGCTTGGGTCTATTAGTCAGCCAGCAAATAACATTCTCATGGACTCAGCTTCAAGCTCCTACTTGAGTTTCTGCACTGACCTTTTTTAGTGATAGAATTGGAAACTGGAATACATTTTTTCCCTTAAAATGCTTTTGTTCGGAGTGTTTTAACATTCAGTAATACAATGGAACTAGAACAAGCATTGAATACTTTGTAGAAGGTGCTACCCTGATGGCAAAATCCCCTCTCTGAACCCTCTTCCTAAGATTACCATTTAAGAAGAGGTGGACTTTCAATATGAATTTGGGGTGGGAGAGTACATAAGATCAAATGTACACCTTGGAGGTGGAGGAGAAGCTTCTGGTCTGAGCAACTTTGGACAAAGAGTCAAGACATTAAGACTGGAGGTAAATGATGCTTCCTATAAGCATGTACAGTGGTTGGTGGAGTTGTTTCCCACTGGACCACCAGGCAGAGGCTAAAACTGTTCTCATGGATGAGAGTCAAGTAAATAACCCAATGAGCGATGAATGATGGAAGCCAGCTTTTCTTTGGTTGGCATGGATGTCTAGACAAGCAATCAGGGAGGGCAAAAGTGAGCCACGTGGTACTGGATAAAAGTCCAGACAGCAGTATGACTCCATTTAGAGTCATATATATGCAGATATATGGAGAAATAATTATGGATGCATGCATATGAGTGGGGAAATGTGCATATGTATGTCCTGGTGTATATGCTAAGAGAATCTAAAAGCAGTCACATCTCAGTGGCAGCAATCAGAAAGGGCCTGAGTGCAAAACAGGATGTGGGCCAGGGGAGGTTGAAAGGCTATGGGCCGGGAGGACAGTCTCAGCTGAAGTTTTATGTTAGTCCCATCCTTGGATGTGGACCAGCCGAGGGTCCAGGACTCTCTGTAGGCAGTGACAGATTGGAGCTGTCAGGCCAGAAGGGCTCAGCCTGAAGGATGCAGCAATGAGGTAATCCCCAGAAAAGAAACTGGGGCAAGGTGACCCCAATGTCAAATGCAAATTCTAGCCATGAGGGGAGGAGGTGACACAGGAATGCACTGAGGCACCTCACTGGGATGAGCCCAGCTGAGGCAGGAGTGGGAGATCTGACCCCCAAGACTGGGAGAGGACAACTGAAAGCAGTAACCGCTCTGGCCTGCCCTGGAGGGTTGGAGCACACGAGGGTGACTGACTAACATGAAGGTGCAGAACGATCCCTTGAAAATTGGCTTTTATCTCTTTTCTGAGACTATGTCCTTCTCTGTCAACTTCCAGTGTCCCAGGCAATTGTACAGTTGCAACCAACTGCATGGATCTCAAAGCTTAAAATCACCCCCTAGCCCTTTATTATTCTTATTTTATTTATTTGTGTGTGTGTTTGTGGTGTGTGTACATGTGTACCTGTTGAGTCTGGAGGAAAACCTGGGGTATTATCTTTAGAATGCCATCTGTCTCCTTTGTGATAAGGTCTTTCACTGGCTTACAGGTAACCAATTAGGAAAGACTGGCTGGTTATGGAACCCCAGAGCACCTTCTGTCTCTGTTTCTCTTGTCCTTGGATTACAAGAACATATGATTACACTTGTAATCATATTATTTCAATTAATTATTTCTGTTTTGTTTTGCTTTGTGAGCCAGGGCTTTACTATGTAACTCTGGCTATGGAACTCTCTATGTAAATGAGGCTAGCCTCCAACTCCCAGAGATCTGCCTGCCTTCCATGTACTGGAATTAAAGGTTTACATGACCATACTCTCCCTCATATCTCATATTTTTTTTTATGTAGGATCTGGGGACTGAATTTAGATTCTTATACTTGGAAATCAAGTGCTTTATTCATTGACATATCCCAGACTTATTTAAAGTCTCATACACACGCACGCACGCACGCATGCACACACACGCACACACACACGCACACGAGCACACACACATATGTGAGTGATTATGGAAGCTAGCTTGAGTGTTTTACATCAGGTTGTCCAAGGCTATTGGCCTTGTTTTTTGAGACAGATTCACTGTGACCTGGGGCTTGTTAATTTTCTTAACTTGGCTGGTCATTGAGCCCCAGGATTCTGCTGGGGGCTAGGATTACAAGTGCGCACCATCATATCTTTTTAGGTGGGTGCTGGGCATCAAACTCTGGTCCTCATGCTTGTGCTTTCCCAAGTGAGCTATCTCACCAGTCTCCACCTGGCCCTTTACACAGAGATGTGTTTTTCTGATGGCCTAGGCAATCCAGGTGAAAAGCCATGGCAGTGAATGCATTCATGAACAGGCACAGCACAAATAGGCACAGCTTTGCTTGACTTGGCATCTTTACAGAAGCAGGCGACAGTGTAGCTTGCCCACCGGATTCTCAGGCAAGAGCTGTGCTGTGTAGAATCACATGGGCAGACAGACTGTTCAACTGTATGTGGCCAATCATTGCAGCTTCCTGATATGGAGCTGTGACCACAGTCAGTGCTGCATGAGGGTGACAAGAAGGCCACACTTAGCTGTTGGGTCTCACCATTTCAAGTGGAGCCAGCAACATTCCAAAATGGAGACACAGAGACCCAGAAGCAGGTAAGACCTCTGCAAGGGGGAACCTGTCCACCTACTCCAGAGTCACACTGAAACTGATGGCCTCTGCCCCAGTTAGCCCAACCTTTGTTGACTCACACTGAAGTAGAGGCAGGGGACTGACTGCCTTTGACACATGGCATTCATGTTCTTCTTTTAGAGGTACCACGTCCACTTCCACCAGGCAGTGATCTTGCTCAAATTGCCTGCCTTCCTGCTGGGACCACCATATGTGTTTCCTGCCTTTCTCTCACCAAAGCAAGGGAGAGATGACACTCTGAGACAGTACTACAGAAGACACTGGTGGATCCTTCACCTGTTGGTGCCATGACCATCAGCTGTCACTTCTGGCTCTGTACATTACTGGGGCTGCCCTGAATCTCAATGCTTCTGCAATCAGCAATGTCATGGGATTTCGGTTTGTTTTTAAATTTTCTAATCACCTATGATTTTATGACATTTTTTAAAAAAGCAAAACACAAAATATTCAGAAGTAGTTTCTATTGCTTGCAACCAGAGAATCTGATATGTCTTCTGAATGAATCTTGTTGGTTCCACAGAATAACAGCTTGCTGTTCAATACACATACCAGACCAGACCATACATCTTTCTCCATGACATAAAAAATACTGACTCTTCAGGAAGGTCCTCAAATGAGTCCTTGATTTGTATCAATCTCTCTCTCTCTCTCTCTCTCTCTCTCTCTCTCTCTCTCTCTCTCTCTCTCTCTCCCCCCTCCCCCCTTTGAAGAGAGATCTACCCTGAGCTAAACTGCAACAGAATCAGTGATGAGGACAAACAGAGTCCTGGTAGAAGGAAGCAGGCTCCTCCCACTTTCCAGACCCTGCTCACTGACTCCTCCCACCTTCCAGCCCCGCCCACTGACTTACATGTATGCCTTGTAGTTGGATCCAATTTTCTGTATACGGATGTCATACTTGGAATCAATAAAGGCCTCCGTGGTGGCATAGGTTTTGGCCATTGCCACCACGCTGGTGATG